GGGGGCTGTGGGCTGGCACACAGTGCCCGATGGCCCTGGTGGGGTGCCTGGCCCGGAGAGCCCACCCTGGGATCTGGCGACAGCCAGCCGCCACTCGAAACTGCGCCTGTCAGGCGGGCCGGGGCCCCTGGGTTCCAGGGCTCAGCTGCGTGCACGGTGTAGGGCAGCGCTGAACCAAATGGGGAGCCGGGGGCGCGCGGAGGGAGGGGAGGTGGAGCAGAGGGGTCCCGTGGTGGGGGGTTGTAAAATGTCTCCGTTCACCTCCTGGCCTTTGAGCAAACCTCTTGCTCCCCAGAGCGGATGGGGCCCGCACGGCAGCTGTCGCATCCTTAGGGCTGCCGTCTGGGTAAAATGGCTCTCCCGTGTCCCCCAGCTTTCCCGGATGGCTGCGGCCGTCTCTGCTGGGGTGGGGGTGCTCCCGGGACGTTGGGTGCCTTGGGTGCCCTGTCTCCTCCCTGTCTTCACTCTGTGTGTCTCCCGACACCCACGGTCTTCGTCTTGGTGGAGGAAGGCGGTACACGCTGTAGATTCAATGCACTCAGAGCCCGCCCTGGGATGGATTCATTTGTATTTCCTTTGATGCTGATAGAAGTCTCCCTCGTGCCAGGCTCGGTCTAAATGCTTTACAACCCTTAACTCATCTCACTGTCGTAACAACCCTGTGATGTGTGTACTGTTATTAGGCCCCATTTACAGGCTGAGGAACCGTGGTACAGAGAGGTTCAGCAACTTGCCCAAAGTCACACATGTAAATTAAGCCTCCGAACTGTGAAACCGCAAAGACTCCATCGTTCTGTGATGGGGTGAGAGTAGTGTTTTGTCATCAGGCTAGAAGAGAGCATCGTGGAAGGTGCGGGGCTACTGTGCTACGCTCTGACCACGAGCTGATGATGAGCCCGACCTGTGTGGACCCCCACACAGATGCTCGCCTGCCCAAAGCCCTTGGCGGGGCGCCCTCCTTTCCAACCCCTCCCAGATTCCTGCCTCCTTTCCCATGAAAATGCTCATCGCTTGGCTTGGGTATTGTTAGGAGCCTTAGGGAGAAAAAAAATCCACGTATTTGCACTATTTTATGCTAAGGTGTGGATGGTTAACTTACCAGAAATATTTGCATTTTAAGAGAAGACCTTGTTAACCTAAATCATGGTGTCTTAACCTCTGCCCTATTGACATCCGGGGATAGATAATTCTCTGTTGTGGCGGTGGGAGGGCTTTTCTGTGCCTTGTAGGAGGGGCCAGTAACACCTGCCCTGGGCATGTTAGACAAAGATGTCTCCGGGGAACGAGACCACCCCTAGGGGAGAGCGACTGGCCTGATGGATCTCATCTCTGTGGGTAGGACGTCAGGAAGGGATGGGGTCAGCACACCGGAGCTGGGAGGAAGGATGGAGA